GTCAGAGGCCGCGGCTGAGCTGGGCGGTGTGGCGGGCTGTGTCCCCTGGAGACACCCTTCACCCCCCTCCCTGATCCTCCTGCTGTGCACTGGGAGACCTCAGGCCACACATCTCCTAGGCCTCAGTTCTCCAATATTTGAGCTAGGTTAACAGTACTTTTCCTCAGTCCCGAAGAACTCTTGTCAGGGTACCATAGGGAGTCATCTTCATAAGTGTTTTGAAGCCTAGAGAATATAACACAAAAATCCAGGCCAAGGTCAACAGGGAGGTCTGGATTGGTCCCTGAGTCAGTATCTGACACCAAATCAGCTAGCTTCATGCTTAAGCTATGTGGCATTGGGCAGGGTGCTGAACCTTTCTGAGCCCGAGTGCTTTTTGGTGGGAGGGGAGGTGGACAGAGCCCTTCCTAGACCAAGCTGCTGGCTCAGGTAAGAAGTGAGTGTGTAGGACGTGAGAGGATGATTTGGTATAGCGAAAGGTCTGGATTCAGAGCCAAGGGAAGGGGATCCAGTGAGCGGAGAGACTTTGGGCGTTCCGTGCCTTGCTGAACTTTAGTGTCATCTGCAAAACAAGGGGGCGGGTCAGAGATCCACCTCCCTTAATACTTTGCCTGTCTAGGAATGGTTATCATGGCACCAGTTAAAGCATCCACCAAATACAGCGTTTCTGGGGGGCAGGAAATTGCCCTGGAGCATGGGCCGCGGCTCGTGGCCACGGGCGGGTGTAGGTCGCCACCTGGCGGAGCAATGCGGGAGGACGCCAGACTCCTAAGGGGCAGCCCAGGGCCTTCTTTCTCTAACTCAGCCGGCAGCTCAGGCCCACAGAGGGGACACAGCAAGTTCTCAAAATCCGGAGTCCCGGATGCAGGCTGCCTGCCAGGGAACATGGGGTCTTTGCAATCCACAGTCTTGAGCTGTGTCTAGCACTGCCGGCTCCCTTTGTGGAGGAGGTTGAGCGATGCACCGGGGAAGCAGGCGGCACAGGTTCGAATCCTAGCTCACCTTGAAATCCTAGGACAGGAACCTGACTTTTCTGAGCCCTGCTTTCCATGAAAATTAAGGGTAACAGCTCACGGCAGGTTTGTATTGGGACCAGGACCACACATGTAAATATTCCACGGCGGCTGTCAGTCCCAAGCTGGTCTTTGACAAGTAATAGCCAGCTCTCCTTAGATCCGCCACCTAGACCATCTTCCTACATCCAGCTTTGGAAATATTCCGGGGTAGAAATATGAGTAGTATGAGCCTCCATGGAAGCAAAGCACAGTGCCACCTTCTGGCGGTCGCTCGCCGACCTCGCTGCGTCAGGGCCCTCCGGACTCAGGCCATGCCTGGCTGCATGGACACCTGGCCCCCTTCCTGGCTGGGTCGCTGTTACTCCTCAGAAGGGCCGTCCCACCACTCTCTCAGCAGATCACGAAGTCTCTTTAGCCATCTCAGCTTAATGAAGCTCATTACACTCTCGGAGCCTCACCAGCTGCGGTAAGACTTCAGGGGCCCAGGAGCACAGTGTCCTTGGAGGTGAGGCCTCGCCCACCCCGAAGCCGCGGTCTCTCCATTCACCTCTGTTCTCCTGAGATGCTGCTCTAGAGGACAGGTCTGCAGGCCCCGTAGGCACAGCCACCCTGGGCCGCGTCTGGCATGGCTTCTAGTAAAAGCAGGCCCGGTGACTCCAAAGTCCAAGATCCTCCCCTTGAATTGGAGGCTTTCTGGGTGCTGCAAAGTCTCGGTGGCCTGGATGTCCCTTTGCTCTGTCATCAACCTGTTCCTCCCTCTGGGGTCTGCTGGGAGCCTCACCTGCAGGAAGCTCCCTCGGTTCCCAAAATGCCTCTTCCTTCCTGTTCACTCTCTCAATTGCACAGATATAATATGGTTGAGAAGATTTGATATGCCTATAATTTGGCTGCAGTCACAGATGATGTGTATGCATCTATAATCGATATACATATATCCATGTATGTGCATGCACTGTATGCAAATGCACAATATTTATATGCTATATACACATACATATTACATACAGTACACATACATGCATATAACACACATACATAGTATCTCTAAACCAATGAGTTTCTATCATTAAATATTATAGTGATGACTTATATAATGCTTGAATTTTGTTTGCTTGTTTTGCTTGCTTTTTTGAGACAGGGTCTGGCTATGTAGTTTAGGCTGGCCTTGAACTCGCAGTGATCCTCCTGGCTCAGCCTCCCGAGTGTGCTGGGATTATAGGTGTGCACCAACACACCCAGCAATACCTTTAAACCAGTCCTCTGGTAGAAAGACTGTTCCCATTCTTCACTGTTTTTTTCTTTTGTTATTTCTTTTGTTAGTAGAGATTAAACCCAGAGGTGCTGTATGGCTGTGCTATGCTCTGGCCCTCTTTTTATTTATCTATTGTTTTAAAATTGTGAGAAAGGGCCTTGCTAGGCTCAAAGTTGCTCCTCAGCATCCTGAGTAGTTGGGGTTGCTGGCATGTGCATTAGGGGCAGTTCTTTGCTGTTCTGAGCAACGCTCCTGTGAAGTATTATCCTGCCCCCTTAGTAGGCAACACAGCCAGGTGGGCACTGGAACCTGCGTTGGGTTCTCCCTCTCCGGTGGCCTGGCACAAACTATTTCACCTCTCTAAACCCAGGGATAATGATACTCACCACCACACAGGGCTGTGAGGGTGCGTGAAGTTTCTGACATGGGACCAGTTAGTCAGTGCTTCGTGAGAAACACGGTGCCGATTTGGGAGGCAGAAGATGAGGATTTGTTTCACACCGCCAGCCGAGAGACCAAAACCCACTGAGATAAGGTGATGGCTCACAAAAAAAAAAAAAGAAGGTGATGGCTTCTTACAATACCTAAGGACTGCCCAGCTTTAGGATTGTATTATTGTTTCGACTTCTGCTGTTATTTTCTACGTGGTCCAGGAGTCTGGAACTCAAACAAGGCAGCCCACAGCAAGTGCTTTGAGAGGGCTCTGGTATTTTAGCCACGGTGAAAATGATTCATGCCTTTATAAAGAGCTAACACCCAGAGAGCTCAGACCAGGAAGCAGCCCGAGTCCAAATCCACCAACGAGGCTGTCCGTGGTTAGCAGGTTGGCTGCGGCCTCCTCTCCTCTCGAGCTGCCCAGGCAGCACGGGTCAGGCTGCAGCTGTTTCATAAACGGGCTCAGCTTGTTAACAGCGGAGCTCTGGTGCTGTCCCCCTTTACAACCTCTGACAGCTTCATTAACCCCATTAAATCACGCAGGTGCCTGAGGCCTCTTGCACTTGTTAATGTCCGTTCAGCTCCGGTGAGTGAAAACCTGGCTGCAAGGTTGGATGTACCTTGTTAACCTCCATTAAAACCTATTAAACCCCCTAACTAGCGTCTTAGTGACTTCTCCGAATCCCTCATTAAAATTCGGCAAATCCCACCGATCAGGAGCAGGCCAACCTGCAGCCGCGCTGCTTCAAAGCAAGTCGTCCGGAGTCCTCTGCCACGGGCTGGACCGCAGGGTCCCCGGGGCCGGATGAAGCTTGGAGCTGATCCGAGAAGGGGCTCTGGCTCTGAGTCTCGCGGGCAAGTCCCTCGAGCTCTCTGCGTCTGTGCTTCCACTTCTGTAAACTGGAGTTAATAGCAGTTCCCACTTTATATGATTGTGGTGAGATCCACAGAATGAATGTACATAAAACCCCTGGCGCGTTGTCTGGCGTGCGCTGTGTGCTTGAGCGCTGTTATTACTCCGGAACTTAGCCTTGTAAACGTGGAGAAACAAACAAACGAAGAAACAAACCTGTTTAGTAAATGGAAGATTGGATCCCAGGCATTTGTAGCGTCCTTCTCCACGCCGGGGCATCTTTTTAGGAACCGAGGGTTATTTTCTTTCTGCTTTTATCCGCACAGGATCGGAGCACCCACTCGAGTGGATTGTCGTGTTTGTGGCTATGCCTGTCACTGCGCAGGCTCGGCTACTTCCCAGGTGTCTGGTGCCGAGTATCAGCACTTTCCTTCCGGACCTGGGTCTCCAGGAGTCGCACTCGGCCGTTCTTGTACCCGGATGTCAACATCAGTTGCCAGATTTTGTCAGGATGTATTTCCCCGGGAGCTGAACAGCATCGAGATGAAGCTGGTGCTCTCAGGATGGGGACCGGGAAACCTCCAGGCTGGATTGTTTTTCAGTTTTACTGCACTGCTATCTTACCCGGGAAGAGAAATTCCTATTTCTGGAACTCAGCCCCTGGATTTTTCGTTGAGGATGCAGGAATTGGCACTGGGATAGCTCTCCGTGCCGTTTACAGAGGAGAACTTTCGAGGGCGAGGGTGGTGCCCAGGGGAGGAACATTACTTTCAAAATTCCTGTGTGGTTCAAAATTCTAGAGCTAGGCTGCATTCATTTTATTTAACGTAAGGAAAACCATTTGCCACATTTCTTCCTCTTCATTCTGCTGAGGACGGGGTGTGCCAAAGCGGCACTTGCGTTTGGGGCTCACGGTGAGTTCTGCCCAGCAGCAACAGGCGGATGAGAGGCCACCCCCCCCAGGCCTCAGGGACCTGCACCAGGGCCAGGATTTCTCATACCGTCCTGCGCAGGGGACTTGCGGTGTGGAGCCAGCTTGGAGTAGGTAGCAGGGGAGGTGCAGGGAGTCTATATTCCTGACCTGCAGGGTCTGTACCCACCTTCAGCAGCAAGGTTCAGTTAGAAATCCCCAGCCTCACGCGTGCTTTTGAAACTTTGTTTACATGAAGTTGTGAATTTCCAGCTCCTCTTACCAGACTACAGCACCTGGTCCCGAGACTGGCGTTCCCACAGGGCAGAAACGGCAGGAATTGGGGAGCAGCTGCTCTTAGAAGGAATCTGAGTTTCCGGTTTGCAGCCTGGCCCTGCAGACCTTTCAGTCTGCAGGAAACCAGTGCCCCAAGGCCTCAGCTCAGATGGTAATGGGAAAGTCAGGCAGCGGTCTCTAAAGCCTGGGCACCTCTGGTACACAGTGTGGAAGGTGACTCGGGCTGTCGGACACAGTGTGTGAGGGGGACAGGAGGGCTGGGATGGGAACCAGCCTCCTACGGTGTGAACTCTGAGGGTGCACCTGGCTCGCAGGACAGCATGGGTGCTGGCTGCTGGAGCTGCGTCATTACTGACTGTGTACCTGGCGGGGCCCAGGGAGGAGGTGAAAGGGCCTAAGTTCATGCAGGAAGTACAAAGGAATAGCAGAGTGTGTCTTTTTACTCATTCAGTTCATTTATTAAGAGCAAAAGTCGGGCCATCCCATCCATGATATTGCAAATGAAAGTCATGTAATACTAAGGAGACTCTAGAGTTGAGAGCCTTTCAACAGTGCAGAGCCTTAGAGTACAAAGTTAAAACACAAAGGATCCCCCCAATTTGGCAGGAAACAAGTACAATATGAGGAGGCCTGGAATGGAAGGGCACTTACTTTTCAATAAGGCAGTTACAAAACGGACAAGAAAACGCCCCAAACCCGGCACCCTAAAAGTCGCTCTGATGAGCACAAAAGACAATAGAGATGTAAAAGAGGATCTGCACAGCCCTCTGTCATCGCAAAGGTACTGATCCAAGGAGAGCAACCGAAGGGTCTGTGTTGAGATGGAAGCTCTGGGAAACAACTGACTGCAGACATTTCTGCCACAAGGACAGGTCGCACTGCACCCAAACTGGATTCCACCTCAGCATCAGACCAGCACTACCCTTCTTAACTCGGACTTGGAGACAGTCTGCAACACAGTGAGAGGAGTAAGAGGGCACCCCTGAAGCACCGTGCTCCCCAGCGCGTGATCTTGAGCTCGCTGCCCTCAGCTCCATTGCCCAGCTCAGCGATGGACCGGAAATCCCAACCCGAGACGACTGCCTCGGGGAGGAAGCTGGGCCCAGGGATCTCAGACCAAGCCCACCTCACGCGAATTCAGATTCTAGACAATGCTACACTTCCCACTGGGGTGTCTGAGTGCTGGTCTTCACCCTAGGCTAGATCTGTTTTTCCCTGCCACTCCTTTTACAAACGCCACTAGCCTGATGTCACTGAGCTTTGGGTTCTGCAGGGCAGTTTGGTTCGAGAGCCGAGCTGACTGTGGGGCCTCTTCCTGTACGAGTTCTCGAGAATCTGAGGGCCACTTTCCTTGGACTGCGTGAGAGTCAGCCTGCACATGAGAGAGGAGAGTGCGGCCAGGCTGAGGGCTGAGGCCAGGCCCCAGGAACACAGATCTCAGACAGACCCCGTGAACTCTTCATTCCCTCGGAACGGACGGCAGGACAGCCGTGAAGGACTTCCCAGCTTGAAGGTCTGGTACGTCTGACACGGACATATGGTGCCTGCGCCCCAGCCCCAAGTTCTTAAACTTTGTTTTTCTCAGCAGAAAACAAGTGTGAAGTCCTTACAGGAATCCAGGGCAAAGCTCCCAACAACCATGGAACCTTTAAACTTTGAACAGAGCAACGATGTTATCTTTGAATCTAGGTGCAGTTTTTCCTAGACGATGTTGTGAGCATTAGTTTTTGCGAAAAGCGCAGAGCTAAGGCCTCAGCTGCTGTAAGTTGTTTTTTACCAGCCCCCACCCCCAGAACTTCACCAGATTTGGCAAGAAGCCAGGACAACCTGGCGGATGGTGTTCCCCCAATCTCCTCCGAAAGGGAGGTCAGCAGGGTGGGCTCTCAGGGAGGAGGACAGTCAGGGCACCAGAATCCTGTGTCCTCGCTCCTCCTTTCTGGGGACAATAATGCAATGCTGGGAATTAGGTCGCTCCACATGGCCCCCACAGGGCAGAGGCTAAGGTGGAGATTACAGAGAACACAGAAAAGCCAGGGGTTCCCCAGGAGGTAGTGAGTTCTCCACAGAGATGTGGAAGCCCAGACTGCTCCCGTGGCGGGATGGCACAAGAAGAGTGGCAGCACCTATGGGAACACTGCACTGGGAGGCCTCAAAGACGCTTTCCCAATCTTTGGATCTTGTCACTGCAATGACTGAGAGCCTCCAGGAGCGTTCCAGGGAGCACCTCCCCAGTCTCACAGCGGGACACCCATCTCAGTCAGAAAGTGCCCTCCCTTCCCGTCCTTTCCACCAGACAGCTGCCCTGCAGGACAGCAACAAAAAGTCCCCATAGAATAATAGCCCAAGGCCAGGTTAGCTGCCATGTTCCACGTACAAGTGTTGTTACTGTTTCCTGAGGCGAGCACTGACTACTTCGCTGTGACAGGGTCGCCCAACGACCTGGCAGCTGTGCCACATATGTGGAATTCCTCTTCCTTTTACAACACCGGTCCTGAATCCTTTGATTTGTAATCTTCTGCAAGATTCCAGCTCTGATCATTTTCACGTGCTGCCGCCAACTTGAGTTTGTATGAAAGAAGAAGCTTGTTCGCTTGAAACAGAATGCCGTGAACAGTGGGATGCTGAGTATCCACATGGCCTCCTGCAGGCACAGGGAGGAGCCATCCCAGGTTTGGACGGAGGCAGGAACTGTACTCTCGAGGGAGAAGACGATGTCAGCTCTGGACTTCAAATTCCAGTTTTGCCCAGAAGCACCAGAAGGCAAAGCTGGGATGTCACAGGTGGCGGGAAGGTTGAGAGTCCTTGACACGCGGGTTAAAAACGCAGGCAGCAAGATGGACCTTGCTTTCCCCAGACCCCACTGCTCCCTGAAGCCGGGCCCTGTGGCTCTGGAGGCTGGGCCGTGTCTCCCCGGCAGACGTCTCCAGCCATGGATAAAGCCATCAGAACTGCAGAAGGGGCTAAGGCAGCTGCTTCAGCGGCGTGGTGAGAGAACGGACTTCTGGACAGGAAAGAAACAACCGGAAGAGCTTTGTCTTTTCTCTCAGCGGATCTATTTTACAAAGCAGAAAAGACACCCACCGTCTCCCCTTTCCAAAAACAGCCCTCTTTGGAGCAAAGACAGCAAGGGAGTCAGGGTGCACAGCTTCCAGCTGAAGTGAGACGTCTCCCCAGCTGCCCATGTGGAGAGGGAGCCTCCTCAGACACACTGGACGGCTGGACGGAGCACCACACTTCCTACACAGAGCTGTTCCGCTCTCTCCCAACCGGGGAAGCACACTGGCTGCTAAACAGCGACACGGCCTACATGCCCATGATGTGGGTTTAGATACCACAAAGATATGCTTTCCTCCTCACGAATACACAGACACTGCTACAGAGCAGGTTAACAGTGCCTTAACAGGCAGGTTCCCCCTGTCCCCAACTCCAGCCTCCCAGCTATGAGGCAGGGACGGTCTAAATCCCACTGAGTCTGACCCACGGTGCTGGGAGCACCCTTTGTGGGCCCCACACAAGCAGGAATCAAAACAGGACCCCGCCAGCCCAGAGGATACACTGTGCACATTCATTTATTTCTATTTGGAAAGTCATCTGCTAGACATGCGTTCTGAACACTGAGGAGAGCTCTGCTGCTGGGGAACACACTGCATTCTGGCGACAGCGGTGGCCCTGTCCCCATTCCACAAAGACGGTGCTGTTTCACAGAGCTGAGACCTTCACCACCTGCCCAGTGTGGTCTGCTTCTGATGGTCAGACGAAGGGTCCACGAGACTGCAACTCTCTCCTAGGCCAAGCTGCCCACTGCTCCTTTCTATTACTTAAGGCTTAAGAAATAACAACTCACAACTGAAACTCAGTAGGACAGGGACACCCTTGACCACAGTCTAGGTCAAGGTGGAAATTAAAACCCAGATCCTTTTCTTCTTTTTCTGCCATCCTTTTATCCACACCCTCTGCCCCCAACACAAAAGCATACTTTTGGATATAAAGCTTTGTTTTCACAGGGTACTTTGGCTCAGACAGAATTAGACAGAAGAATCTGACTTTCTGAACAACAACAAAAAAATCAGGTAATTGTGAATACTGTAAAAATGACTCATCACCTCCTTGCCTAAGAGGGAGGTGAATTTTTCACAAAGACGAGCATCAGGGGGCACTGACTTCTTGGCTCACACTTGTGACGTGCTGCGGAGCAGAGCCTGACAGCCCCACCAGCTGCGGTCTCCCAGTCGGGTTTCTGGTGGGACCTGCGCAGCCCTCAGTAGTTTCCGGTAGCTGTGAACTAAGGATTAAGACTCCCGAGAACACCAGCCCCAGCCACTCACTCTCGACTCGTCCGAGCTCAACCGCCCAGGAGCTTGGCTTAAGTCTCCCCACAGGACTTCACCCCTAAGGACAGCACGGAGGGCCGAGCACAGGCCTCTGGTAGGGCTGCTCTGTCACTGTCTCCAGAGCCGCAGCCAACACTGCCTCACACACGCAACTGCCCTGTGGCCTGCGCTTGACCTGCAGTCTCCTCGCTGGGACACTGGGGTTTCCCACGCTGCAGTGACAGATGCAGAGGTCTCGGCAGCCAGCGCAGTGAGGCAGGCGAGGCGGGGCCGGTGCGGTGCTGACAGCTCCATGTGCCAAAGGCCAGGCCCAGGGCACGTGAGGGCGACCGGTGTGGGACAGGTTTGCTGAGAACAGAGAAGCCGCAGAGGGGCGGGTCCTCGAGCCCCGAGCCAGGGTGCACCTTGCTGTCGTCCCTCCAGGGCGGTGTCCAAAGGGAAGGTTCAGTCCACACGCTTCCCACAGAGCTGGGCACTGCGGGACACAGCCTTATGTCCTTGTGACCCTCTTACGGTCCAGCAGTTACCTTAAGAGAATGTCTGTCTGTACGTAGGCTGCATCGTGGAAGTACGATCTCCTGACCAAAGAGATTTACAGTACTCACCACTCAAGCTTTTGTCTGCACAATAACACTGAACAGTGTTGCCGGGCACCAGCGTAGCAGACGTCACCTGCGCTGAGGCGCGGCGCTTCACTCCTCCCGCGTCTGTGCCTCACTCCAGCTGCTTGCCGCCCTCCGCCTTCTGGTCCAGCCTGCTCCTGTTACTCTTCACCATGTAGATGAAGTAGGCAAGCGTCTCCTTCTCATTCACGGGGATGTTCCTGAAGTGCCGGCTGACGGTCTGCGGGACAAAGAGATAAGGAAAACCCGAAGTCCCTCCCACCACACGTGAATCAAGATCACCAACTCCAGCTCACGCAGTGTGGGGGGCAGAGAGCCCCCAACGGTATGGGGCACCATGCGGAGCTCGGGTGCTGCTGGGGCTCGGTGCTCTCCTCCCCCACCGCTCCTGCAGCGCGACCAGGATGCGCTGCCCAGCACGGACAGCCAGACGTGCATCCCCGCTGGGTGTGTCCTGCCACGCAGGCCAATGTCGGGACTGCTCTAGCTGGACGGCTGCTACCCAACTTCTCCGGCCCTCAAAGTGCGGATGAACGTGTCTTTCTCAATTGTGCCAATCCAAGTGACAATCCAATCAATGTAAGCAACTGAACCCAAGAAATCTAACGAGCAGATAACTGCTGCTGGAGAGGTACAATGGACTGCAAGGAAACTATCATTTAAGACACAATCTTGGGGGAAGGGGGTGGTGCTGGGGATTGAACCTAGGGTCTTCACATTGAGCTACCGCCCCAGTCCTTTTTATACTTATTATTTTTATGGTACCAGCAATTGAACTCGGGCCCTTGTGCTTGTGAGGCAGGTGGCGGAGGCAGAGCCTGAAACATTTGTTTTGTTTTTTTTTTTTTTTTTTGGTACCAGGGATTGCACTCTATTCCTTGTGCTTGTGAGGCAGGCGGCAGAACCACTGAGCTAAATCCCCAGCCTTTCTACACTTATTTTTGAGACAGTGTCTTGCTAAGCTGCTAAATTATCCAGATGGGGCTTGAACTCCAGATCCTCATGCCTCAGCCTCCTGAGTACTGGGTTGGCAGGTGTGCGCCATGCCCAGCTCTCCTTTATGTTCTGAAATACAACCTGAGCATGAAGATACCATCCAGCCCTCCACCAAGGTGGTACACTGTCTTCAGGTAGGAAAGGCTTGTGTGTTCCTGTGTTTCGCCTGGACACCAGTGAAGGAAAGTCTCAAGAAAAACTCACAGCAGTGAGAAACCTGTTCAAGAAGATCCCAAATTAACCAAGCTGTAAGCCTCTGAGGGAACTCTTTTTTTTTTTTTTTTTTGGGTACCAGGGATCAAACTTGGGTCCTTGTGCTTGCGAAGCAGGCAGCAGAACCGCTGAGCTCAATCCCCAGCCCCCTCTGAGGGGACTCTCAATGGATGGAGGTGACGGGGGCAGATATAAAGAAAATGAAGAAGTGGCTATTTCTGGATGGTACAGCTGCATTTTTCTTATTCCTCCAAATTTTCTACAATAGGTAGAATAAATATAAATAAAATACAATAGGCACCAAGAAGGATGAGAAAGTACGGGCAGTGGCACATGTCTCCAGGCCCAGTTACTCAGGACTGCCTGAGACCAAAAATTCGAAGCCAGCCTGGCATCACGGCAAAAGGCCATTTCAAAGAAAGCAAAGCAAAGCAAAATAAAAAACAACAAAAAAGCTGGGCGTGGTGGCTCACACCCAGAATCCCAGCACTCAGGGAGGCTGGGGCAGGAGGATCACTGCCAGTTCCAGGCCAGCCTGGGGTACATAGTGAGACCCTGTCTCAAAAAACCAAACCAAAAACCAAACCAACCAACAAACAAACCAGAGCAATGGGAGAATGAGCGAATACACAAAAACACCAAGAAGAACACTGCCTTCCAAACCATGTTAAGATGTTAGGGCCGAAGAAAATTTTCTTTGGTATCATTCATTATAATAAATACTCCAACTGCTGACACCAGAGAAGAAATCAAGGAAGAAAAAAATAAAGAAAATTAGCTCCTGTAGAAAACCACTAAAGTTCTTGGGGAAGCTTAATCTGATGAATCTGAAGGCAGAATGAAAATACCTATAAACAATCACGCAAAAAAATACAGACAGACAGAGAACACTCAGAACTAAAGAATCAAGAATCACTTTTGCTCCCAGACCGTGTGGATCTGAGCAATGCCTTTCCACTGTCTCTGCCAAGTGCTTTCCAGGCCTAAAGCCACAGAACTCCCAACTCTGCAGAAGGGGAGAGGACAGTCGCTTCCAGAGCCATGGCGGAGATGACACCAAGGACGCACAGCACAGGAGGAGAGCAGGGGCCACAGCGGAGCTGCAAGGCCGTCCGTCCCCTCTCGGTGCACCCACCTCTGCTAACTGGGCCTTATTGAAGCCGGGCCTGGTCTGTAGCTTGTAGTGCCGCTTGTAGCGCCGTAGCGTATTCACCTGCAGCTGAAACAGGTCGACCTAGGGAGAAGAGGGAGACAGGTTACTCCACACCAGCTGGCCAGGACTCACAGAGACCGCCGCGTGCCCAGCGTTCCCTAGGTGGGGCAAGGACGGGGACGGCAATGAAGGAGGTCATGACACAGTCTGCAAGGAGACAAGACCGGCAGTGGAGTTCTGGCTGGCGGGCGGATCCCGGAGGCTGTGGAGGAGCCTGAGTGAGGCCTCAGCTCTGAGAGGCAGGGTCTATGCCGGCAGTGAGGAGAGGAGAGGAAGGAATGAGGGAACAGACCGTGAGCAGAGATCCAGGAGGCGAACGAGGGCCAGGGCCAGCAGCAATCCGGGGTCTAAAAGGTGACGCGGGGTACAGTGTCCTGAGAAGGAGAGGGGCCACTGCAGGCGGATCAGGTGGTACAGAAGTGAGAAGTGGGGGAGGGAAGACCGGATGGGGACAAGGGGACACAGGGGGCCCAGCAGTGACCCACTAGTGAAACGAGGCTGTTGAAGTTTTCTGGGGGGGTGCTGGATGCTGGGAAAGGCACAGGCCAGAGAGAGGTCCTGCAGCGTGACATTCTGAAGCCAGGCAGCAGTGGGCATGAAGGACAGCGCGGAGAAATGCAACGTCCAGGTGGCTGCTCCCCCGCTCGGCCCTGGGTACGAGAACCCTGAACAATCCTCCACGGGAAGCTGTGCAGTGAATGTGCAAACTGGCGTGCCAAGGCCAGGTCTCCGCAGACGACTGGCTCACGGAGAGGAGGGACCCACATTCCCTCTTTTAACAGGAAGAGAGGAAAGCCGCAGTCATGAAACAGCGAAGGCCCGGAACTTGGGCTGCCTTTACCTGCCTCTAAAAGAGATGTTCTTGCTTCAGGCAGGTGGAGAACACTTAAAAACAAAATGAATGATCAGTATGAGGGACCAGAGTCCTTCGCTTGTTTCAGAACATCCCTCAAAACCCCCATTTTTTGGTGAAAGGCGTTTAGAAACCAAATACACCTTTACAAAACAATAATAGTGCAACAGGCAACAGGCAGATGCTGTAAACCATGTTGGAAAAGGGGACCCGGGAGGGGCAGAGGGAAAGGGCTTGATTTCAAAGGTTTCCTCCACATCTGCAGACAAAGGCCCGCCTACTCCTTCTGCTCCTACGCCGTCATTTTCACTCTGAGTGCTAACAGGCGGTTGCCTTATGAAATATTCATGTATCAAATATTCAGTGTACACTACAAATGCTTCTTCTTTTGCTGACTCTTAAGTGAAAACAATTTAGAGAGAAAGAAAAACCCAGTGTTCCTGCCTGCAGCCTCACTTAATAAACACAGGGGCGTCCTAAGGAGAGGTGGCCTTCCGGGGAGAAGCCGAGACCTTGTGAACCTGAACCCAGGCGACACGTGGCAGTGTCACAGTGCAGTGGAAGACTGGACCCAGGGCAGGGACACCGCTGAGCATCCTGGAATGGAGTTATCCAGAGTTATGGGCGCCAGAGGACAACAGTGCCGGGCCGAGGAGCGGGCGCAGGTCTCACTCACTCAGGGGTGGGTCTTTGCCAGCCATGGAATCAGGTCATGGAACTGATGGCCACGAGCTGGTGAGCAGCGCTGACTGACCCCGGGAGACTGAAGGAGGACTGCCCGGGAACACACATGCTCGGTCGCTGAGTTTTAAGGCAGAAACAAGGCTTTAAAAAAAGTCAGTTTTGTGGCTGTCCTGATGTCAGTGGCTTTGTGAATAAAGGTACTGTGGGCTACTGGGAAGGAGGGAAAACGGAGCCCACCACTCTACATGTGACCGCAAGTCTCCACGCCTCTCTAAAAGATGTCGGGGCAGCCAGACCAGGTGATTTCTCAACCTTCCACCCTTAGAGCTGATCAGTCAGTATTCCTATAATTCTATGACTCACTTTTCAAATAAACCACAGCAAAACAAAGGGGACTAAAATTACTTCTCAGCACAGAAAACAGACCAGGCCAGGAGGAGGATCAGATTAGGACCTACTCTCCACCCTCTGTCTGGCTGAATGTTTTGGCCTTTACCTCAGGAATGTCAGTGTCGTGCTCTGGAGAATCTCCACCGTCATCACTGGTCTTCCTCTTCCTTTTATTTCGGACACTCTGAATGAAATTTTTGTGGAAGTCACAGATGTACAGGTGCCTCACCTGATGGGAAGGAATTAAAGTCAGAGTTGCCAATTCTGTGGAAAGAGCAACAGGCACCTGTCAGATTACTGGGCTTTTTCTCTTAGCAAGGCATTAAAGGAATATGAGGAAAAACGAGATGTACACCACAGTTTCCCAAAGCTTACCGCCTGAGAACAAAACAAGCAACACACCAACAGCTGGGGACATAGCTAGGTGGTAAAAGCTTGCCTAGCAGGTCCAAGGCTCTGGCTTCAACCCCTAGCACTACCATCACCACTGCCACAGCAACTACGAGGCCCAGGAGGCTGAGGCAGGAGGACTGCATGTGTCAGACTAACCCAGGCAACTTAGTGACTTGGGAGACCCTGTGTCAAAAGAAAAGAGAAATGGTTGGGGATGTAGCTCAGTGTGAGGGTCCTGGATCGAATCCCCACTACAGCCAAAGAAACAAACAACAAAGAGAAGAGAAATACACAAAGAAAACACAAATGCCACAGAGCGTACTGTAGAGCAAGTCTGCACAGAATGGTGAAGGTGACAGATGAGACAGACCGGTCAGAGGGAGCACGGCCACTGCAGACGTGAGCAGGGAGGGGCCGTGACTCAAAGGGCGGACACCCACACAGCACGGGCTACACCCCAAGGTGGGATGGCCAAGACCCAGGAGCACAACAGGATGGGGGCTTCGGAGGAGGAGCAGGAGTGCAAGGGGAAATGTGGGGCTGGGAGTTAGAGGACAGGGTGGACTTGCTGAAACAAGACGGAGTCCCTGGGCTCTAGAAGCAGGGAGGGCTGTGGCGCGCTCGGAAGACCTGAGGGAGTCAGTGAGCTGGTGAGGAGGACAGCAGGGGCTGTGGTGCTGTTACATGGAATGCCCTGTTTCACACAGACAGCAACTACTGCAGCACGCTAACTCCGAAAAACAATTCTGGCACCCGAGGGCGGCTCCTGCTTTACCTACAACGGATCCACAAAGAGAAGCGGAAACGCTCACACAGCAGAGCCACATAAGCAAAGGTTGGCATTATCGCTGATCTTGTGCAGGCGGGAGCAGCCAAGATGTCAAGAACAGGTTTTCATTCGTGAATATAAGCACCCGGGCTACCGGAAGAACCCTTCGAACCCTCACAGAATCAAATGCCTCGGTGAATGACTAGGAGTTGTTGATATTGAAACAGATGTTGCCCAAATGTTCTGAACTTGAGTTTATTCCTTAAATCCCTAAAGATAAAAGTAAGCTGACGGGAAATCAGCATCGATTAATTCAGGCCTTTTTATGAAGAAAAGAAATGAAAACATTTATTCAGACGAATCATTGCTTTCATGTGGCTTCAGGTCTGCAGCAACGCGTCCGGTGGGCAGCAGGCATTCAGGGAAGGCAGATGTGTCAGGATGGGCAAGAGACCAACATGGTAGGTGGGAGGACACCGGGCAGGACACAGTGTTTGCTAAAGCCCTGGCTGCAGATTCCAGGCCCGGACACCAGAACAGTGAGGTGCTGGCTGGACGAGAACTTAGCACTTCCCAGCCCAGCCCTCTGGCCCAAAATGCACTTCCTAAACAGGTAAACTGAGGCCACCCAGAGTGGAGAAACAGTCTTGCCAAGCACAGTCATCCGGGTCTTCTGACCCCAGGTGCCTGTCCCTTCCTAGCCCCATACAGTCCTTTATACCATTCTCTCTAATGAAAAAAAAAATATTATTAAAAGATTTTATTAAAAATTTTTTATTGGTGCACGTTTGCAGAACGTGATGATGACATGCACCGTGGCAAGGCAGTGCAGGTACACAACACATCACATTCTTTCTATGTCCCCTTCCACTCCTGTATCCTATCCTCAGCTTCTACTTTTCTCCAGGGGTGGGGGGAGAAGCAGGAATATGTCAGGTGGAGAATATTCCCATGGATGTGAAATCTTAATAAATCACAGACCTCTACGAATGTCTATGTCACATGAGTTAAACTACCTGAGTTGGGTTTCTGGGTCTGTTACTCTGAAAAGTTCTCTGCCACATCTGTTTTCAAGAGACCCCATCGTCGCATCTCTGTGACCATTTCCCCCTATAGACTGGCTCTCTGAAATTTCAGGGCTCACTGTTGTTTGTGGGGTGGGGAGCAGAAGTGCTCATGTTGTTGTTTTCCTGTTTCACTTTCAGCAACAGCTAAACATTCCTGTGTCACAGCAGTGACTTGGAATTGGATTCCTGCCCAAGCCTGTGAGAAGGAAATGGAATTCCTTTCAGAAATAATGACTCCACCACGCCACCTTGAAACAAACCGTGAGTCCACCTTGGAATTCCTTTCTGCAGCAGCAGTATTACCTCTGGGGAAAACCAGCGCTGGGCTTGGGCAGTCGCTGTTCTAGAGCATGTGTGTGAAACCATCAACAGAGCCCAAGTCCGGCCTTCCAGCAGGGTCACAGCGGCCACCAGGGGTCTCCTTACAGCAGCAAAAGTCATTCGGATGTAGGGCACGGGAAAAGATTGTGAGGCTCAGGTAAAGGCTGCCAACAACCTACACAGAAAGCAGACAGTGCGCTTCCAGGGGGATCTGCATCGCTGACCCAGAATCAGGCATTTCTCTCCAACATGTGACTGTCTAGCTCCTGATGAATTCCATTCATTCACCGACTAAGAGAGATTTGTAGCAAGAAAGCCATTAACTCATCCTCCATCTTTTAAAAATAGCACCTTTCAATGCAGAAGCTGCAAATCTACTTTAATGGTTAACTTTAGATAAAATTGACGGGAGGAGGGAAGACCTTGGAAGAACGGTTAAAATTTATTTACTGAAATCTTAATGGAGGTTTCTGCATGAGGTTGGAAGTAAACTGGCACCGTCACTTTCCTCTGTCTGGGCTCAGTCTCAGCTGCAGAATCAGCAGTGGAGAAGTGAGCTTCCTTTCAGTTTAACAAGCAATCTCTCATCCCCCCGCCCCAATGTGGAGACATTTTGGACCTAAAAGAAAATGCGTGTTAACCATCTAAGCACCCAACCTACCTAGATATTGAATATCCCTTCTTAATTCGTTTCCAATTCTTAATCGTGAAGCAGCCACATAAAGCTTGCAGCAACAAATGTCAAACTCCAAAGTTCTGAATTGGCTGACAATAGGCACATCTTTGGACTTGTTAACTACAAGGGTGAAGTCACCCAGGAGAACTCTCCTATAATTAGGAGCAAAGCACAGGGCAATCCCGTACAAATTTATATCTCCACCTCCGCATTCAAACATGCCACCCCTAAGAAAACTGGTTTTCTTTTCCTTCCAGCCACGACTACAAGAGCCATCTCCCAACATCTGGTCTCGGCCTTATTTCTACCACATCCTAGTAAAACTCATTCCCACAGCTGCCTGCAAAGCCAGCTCGGTGACGGTGACGCTCTGCAGAAACTGAGCCTGCGGAGATAGGGAAGCGCGTGTCACCTCCTCTGAAGGAGCGGGGTTCCTAGAAGGAGGCCAAGTGGGGCGAGAGTCCAGTCCCCTCGTTTCCCCATCCCCGATTCTTGCTCCTTCGTGGGTCAACAAAATCAACCCAGCTCTCGCCGCTCTGATATCCAAACCAAAACCCAGCTAGACACCGGTCAGATCTGCAGGCAGCAAAGCGTCCCCGCCGCCCCCCCCCCCCGACCAGGGCGAGTCGCCC